AGATTCTGGGCGGGCAGAAGAGAGTGCGGGCATTTGTGGAGGTGGATTCGCCTGGGTACGGTGGAGTGAGGCCTGGATAAGAGGAGAGGGGCGGGAATACCTGCTGTGCTCACCACTTTGGAAAAGCGAAGGGCAGGGTGTGGGGTCCCGCGAGGCTCAGTGGGAGTCCCGAGCTGGTGGCAGCGGCCTGGGCCCCGAATGACCTGCAGGGCAGGGAGTAGGCTCGGCCTCACTCTGGCTCCCGTGCACATAACTGCCGGCCTCCTCCTTAGCTGACCTCGGGGCATTGAAGGTGGGCTAACGAGGGAAGCGGTATGAACAAATGTCCTGCACTGCTAACGCATGGTTAAATGGCTATGTTTTGTCTTTGCAATTTAGAGATAACTATAAAAATAGCTGCTTCCAGATGTCTCATAAGTCAAACGTAGTCACCTGGATTTGTGTCCTGGGACCATTCCTGGAGAACAGGCTTCTCTCCTGAGGAGAGGTTTCTGCAGGACAGCCCCCAGGCATGCGCTCTTCTGCCCACCTGCAACCATCACCTGGGAGCCAGCTGGAGCAGGCCTGGCCCTCTGTCCAGGGAAGCCCCTGAATCACACATTCCCCCGGGACGACTTAGCAACTTGAGCTACAAGGTCATTGTCCCTTTCTTGGGCCACTCTTCTGCAGAATCCTAGGGGAAAGAATGCACCAGTGGATGAAAATTACTTAAAAAATGAAAACGTACTTAACCCAACAACATAAAATATTAAAAGGAATTTTGTTTTTACAAAATCCAATAAGTCACCTACAATTGTACCCAAAGCAAAAGCGCTCCTTTGTAAGCAGAGGAAAGAGGAAACAGCCTGGGGACACCTGAGCTCACATCCAGGGCGCAGCTGTGGGGACCAGTCTTATTTTCTGCACACAAGGAGCTAACAGTCTAAAAAGAGTTAAAGAAAAGTAACATTTATTGGATACCTCCTTGCTGTGTAAAGTTGGGCAAGTTTCTTAAGGCCCCCCTGCCTCCATCTGTTTATCTGTAAAATGGAAATAATATTAATTGTCTCTTAGCATTTTGTGAGGATTAAATTAGTCCATCACAGGAAAGCACTTGAACCGTGTCTGGTGCACAGAAAAGTGATATTTAAGTGTTAGCCTCAGTATCAGCTGCGATCACATGCCAGCCCAGCCGAGGTACACCCTCCGTGTCCACCCCCAGGAGACTGCAGCTTTGAGGCTTCCTCAACACCCAGGGCCGGCCAGCCATTAAGTGCGGCCATGGGTTTGCTGGTCTGCATTCTCTGGGGAGAGATGTCCCCAGAACTCTCTCTCTGAGTCTTGCCTCCTCTAGCCCCTATGCCAGGCACCTGGACCTGTCTCTGTGGCACTTGGTGACAGAGAGTGGCCCTGAGCTGGGATTCAGAAGACAGTCTAGCAGCTGAGTGACCTTAATCTCTGGGCCTCAGGGTTGGTTCCTATCTGTAAATTTGAGATAATATTTCCCCTCTCTTTCTCCCTCCCTCCCCACATGCAGGGTTGTTGTAAAGATCACAGGCAGAATAACTACAAGTTCTTCCTCGATGTAACATGAAGAGTCTCCACTGTGCCTCCCACCCCAAACCACACTCTCTAATGCTCAGTTGAGGGTGGAGTAGATTTAAATAAGCCAACCTCAATGGGTGTGCAGGGGCCCCAAGGGAGCTCCTTAGCCATACAGAGTCCTGGTCTGTCCCCATGGAGGAGGCCATTAGCTCAGGCGAACCCCTGAAGTGCTGGAGGCAGTCCCATCCCCAGTAGTCCCAGGTTGCAGGAAGAAGCAGGGATCCTTCCCCCTTCCAGAATGGGGGCCAGGGAAAGGATGAGGGTCTTCTGCAAGAGGTGGTCCCAGGCTCAGTGGGAGGGGCATGAGATGATTGGTTGTAAAGGAACAAGTTCCCTTTGCAAACCTAATGTTCTTGTTGGAGAGAGTGTAGGGGAAAGTACCAGGGGAGGTAAGGGGCCCTATGAGCAGAGTATCCTTCCCTGAAGGGAAATAAAAATAGAATAACAGCTCTCCCAACCCCAGCTGAGATGTCTGCATAACAAGCCAGAAGCAACCACAAATTATGCTGATCAGATGAGATACGATGAGTAAGAATGCCTAGCACTGGCTGGGCACAATAGGGGCACAATGAATTTCTTCCCCTTATGCGTGTGCATACACACACACACACAACTGCATTCAGCCTCAAGACTTTCCACAAATGTCAAGCACCTACTATCTGCTGGGCACTGCAAGGTTCAGAGCACCAGGCCCAAGAGTTGGCCTTGGCCTCCAGGAGCTCCCAGGTTGGTGGTTGAGGGGAACCTGAGCCCAGGAGGCAATCAGAGCCCTCCCAGGAAGTGCTCCAGAGCTGGGGGGTGCTGGTGGACAGGCCCCTAGACTGAGGGAACAGCAGGCACAGAAAAGCTTTGGGGTGACTAGAACATGGTTAGGCAGAGGGAGAGTGCTTGGGTGGTATTTTCTTGTTGCACACCTGCTTGATACCTGCACACCTTTGATACCTCTTGGAGAGCCAGGACCTTGGCTGCCCACCCTTGCAGGCCTCCATACAACCTGCACACGGTAATCCCAGCAAGGAACCCCTGTCGTGAAAGGCAATGGCAGTAGAGCCCTGGCTCAGATGACAGCACAGCTGGGCTGGGCTGAAAGAATCTACAAAAGAGTCCTGGCCTCTGGGTTCCAGAACATTCTATCCTGTCGCAATCTTTATGAGGCTGAAGGCTCTCCCAGAGGTGGCTCCTAGGAATAACTCTAGGTGAAGGGCCTGGGTGCTGCCTATCACTTCTTTCTTCTGCCTCTCCAGTCACCCTTCTCCTCCACCTTTGGCATCAGGTAGCCAGTCTTGACCACCTCTGGCTCCCTGCAGGTGGGCCCAGGGCAGCAGATCTGGCAGTGTGCAAGCAGAGCATAGAGAAGAATCTTTCTCAGGGGTCTGCCCTTTGGGTGGGTGTCAAGCTAGGCCAACCCTTCACACGGCCTGAAGGGATCAACTCTTAAGTGACTAGGAAGCATGTCTCCTCCTCCAACCATGCATTTGCATGAAGAACTGGGGCTGGACCTGGGGAAGGGAAAAGAGTGACTCTGAGAGCTGAACCCTGGGGGTTGGTGCCAATCTGAATTTTGCCTCAGAGCAGGCATAGAACAAAGAACACATATACAGCACCTGCTCTGAAACCAGCACTGTGCCAGGCCCTTTGCATATTTTCTCATTTAACCCTTATCACAACTTTGTGAGGTAGGTGTTCTAGACTCATTTTACAGATGAGGAAATTGAGATACAGTGAATTTAATTTAGTTGCCCAGAGTCAAACAGCTTCCTGAGAGGAGTGGCCTATGGTTTTACTGGAGGCACTGTGTTTTCTGACTTAGGGTCCCTCCGCAAGCTCCTGGGGTCAGGGTACATTCTGGGCGAATGGCTATGGCTGGACTGGAAGCTGCAGCCTGAGGAACTGTGTGTGGAAGGCTGGCCTGGTGGGCATGGCAGCTTGTCACAGACAGGTCCTGGCTGTGGGCCCCCTGCCAGGCAATGGGGAACTGTGCAAGGGATTTGCACAGGCCACCCAATTCCTGAAGTTACCAGGGCTAGCCTGAAGTTAGTGAGGGTCCTGAGCCTTAGATTGTGGTGTGGGTGAAGGCTGATTCCAGGCAATGCCCTTGGAAAAGCCCCTGCCTCGCTGGTGGGCCACAGAGGGCTGTGTGTCTTCCTCCGTGGGCAGCCTTCCACCGTGAGTCAGACTTCAGCCCATCACTGGCAAGTCACCAGCTGCCCGGCTTCCAGCCTGTTTGCTGGACACCACCAGGGTGGCTGCCCACTGCCTTCTCCTATCTCTGCTCTGTCCTGCATAGGAAAGGTGGGGCCACTCCAGGCATAGTCAGCAGGCATCCAGTGTGGGTCACACCAGACCCAGAGCATGTCAGGAGCTGGGAGCAGTTCTGGGGTGTGGCTGGAGTGGACTGTGGCTGAGACAGATCCACAGCCAGCTCCCAAACAGGTCAGCCATGAGCTTCCATGGTCAGGAATTGATGTGTCACCAGCAAGTTATTTGAACTGGGCCTGATCAGCTCACTCAACTTTCAAATAAGAATATTCTCCACCTTCTGCTCAAGCTCAGGAGGCCCCCCAAGGGAAATTTGCTCTGCTTAGAAAAAGGCACTTAGCTTAGATAATCTAAAAAAATCAGTGGTTACTTCAGCTGCCTTGAAGGAATTCACCATGTGTGGATGGACAGGTCTTGAAACTCAACAGCTGGCTTTTAGAAAATAAGAAGGGTAATCTGTGGGTTCCTTGTTCTGAGTTCACCGTGGCTCACCCAGACCCCCTCGGGGTGGGGAGGCACAAGCTGGGCTGCTATACTTCTGGGCAATTTAAAGGCATGTGCTCTGTGTCACTAAAACTGTGACTCAGCCATGTGCTTGCCAAAGCTCAGTCACAGAGGGGCAGAACTGCTCTGCAGGCGCTTCCCAAAGGGAGGGCTCTCCGCCTCCTGGAGGGAGCAGTGGGCATACACAGGGGATGGGCCTTTCCAGCTGTCCAGGCAGGGGCTCTGCAGAGCCAGGACTGGGAGGTGTTCACTTCTGTGTCCCCAGCCCCAAGGCTGTCAATAACTGTCTGTTAGATGACTGAAGGAATAATACAAAAAATGAAGTGAAGCTGCTACAAGAACTGAAGGCCCATACTTTCCCATGGGGTGGTCCCTGTTGTCTTATTTCTTAGTGAAGAGGGGTGATGGTCCATGGTTCCCACGAGAGAGCCCAGACTCCACAGAGTGAGCCGACAGTGGCTGGGGGCAAAGAGGTCCGTGCACCCAGTGAGCTCACCCTCCCTCTGCATCCCTCCAAGACAGTGGGAGCTAGCCTGGAACCATTTGAGGGAATAAGGCCACTCTATATCTGGACTATTTTGGGAAATGAGAAGTTCGTGTGGGCTGAGACCATCAAAAGAATTTTTTATTGTTGTGCTCACTAAAAAAACTATGCGCACTTTGGCAGCACATATACTAAAATTGGAATGATACAAAGAAGATTAGCATGGCCCCTGCGCAAGGATGACACACAAACAAAACAAAACAAATAAAGGCCTGGTAACAAGCGCTAAAAGCCCAGGCTGGACCAGCATGGCCACACTGGAGGAGTGAGCAGCCACCTGGGGGCCTTGGTCAGGCAGATCCCCACACTGCAGGCTCCATCAGCCCCACGGCATCTCCTCCGTGTCTCAAAATCCCACGTTCAGTTACACCTGTGGGTCAGTCACCTGTGGCTGGTCAGCTGCAACCATAGTTCTCCCCCCTTGAAGAGAGGTACCTGGGCACCTTGGCCTGGGTTGGCCTCCCTCCCTTCCTTCCTTCCTTCCTTCCTCCCTCTTCCCTCTTCTTTCTTTGCCTTCTCCTTACTTAAGCTAATTGTCAGCCCAGCTGGTGGGCACTGGAAGCCAGAGAGGGTACTGCCCTGGACAGAGACATCCATTGGAGGCAACAGAGAACTCAGCAGCCAGGACGAGGTTGTGGGTAGCTGCTTGGCCTACCCACATGGCAGGCAGATCCCACTGTCTCCCAGGACACTTGGGTTTTTTTTTTCATTTTATTATCATTAATCTACAATTACATGAAGAACATTATGGTTACTAGACACCCCCTTCACCAAGTTCCCACAAACCCCACTACAGTCACTGTCCATCAGCGTAGTAAGATGCTGCAGACTCACTACTTGTCTTCTCTGTGTTGCACATCCCTCCCTATGCACCCCCACGGACACTTGGTTTTTGAGGTTCTGCCCAGGACATACTTACAGGGCAGGAGAGAACAGAAGCAGCATAGAGGCAGCCGGGAGACCAAGGGTTGGGCATCTAAGAGAAAAGGATATCAAGGACATTGACCTCAGGTGAACCACAGGCACTGGTGCCCAGCTGGAGAATTCAGATCTAATTTGTGCTTCAGGCTGTGATGTCCCCATGGCAGGATTTTTCCCTTGCTGGGGCCTTCCACAAAAGTGCACTCTTACTGTTCTCTGAGCCATAAACAAATGAAAACTCTCATGGCAAGCTTTTTTCAAAGACTGTTGTCTCTAAAAGGAAATTGGAACTTCATTTTCCCACAAGAAGTTCAAGGAATTGTGATTAGTCAGAACTCCCCCTCGACATTCTTGTGAACATTTGAGAAATTCCCAGTGCCTCCTGTTGCCCTGTGTGCGGGAAGTCAAGGATGTGCCGACTCACACACAGCCTGGTGAGAACGCTGGAGCACATAGCAACTGCACAAACCATTGCATAACTGCACTTGTGTGTGTGTGTAATATGTGTGTACACACACACATGCATGCATGTGTTTACTTTGATAATGAAAGGAAATGCAAATTAAGAAGTAATGACTTCTGGTAAAATTATGCCTGGAAGATGACTTCCTCTTCTGTATCCTTCCCATCTCCTCAAAAGTCCTCCTCTCAAGATCTCTTCTCGAGGAGCTTGTTTCTGAGAGCAGTTTCCAGGTTTGATAAGTGACATGTGACAGTCTATGTAACTAATTCTGTGAGACCCCTATTTTGGGGCTCAATGTTTGCCTCGGGCCCAGAGGTGGGTGCAGGGGCTCTCCAGGCAAGAAGAGTCTTTTGGCATTCAGCCAACTTCAAAGCAAAGTGCAAGTCCAGTCATGAAAAAGATCTGGGGAGTCTTGCCAAGTACTGAAGACTCTGCCAGAAAATAATATAGGGCCTGCGTAAGTCTGCCCTCACCGCTCCATGGAAAGAGACAGCTCACCTTGGTCACCTACAAGCATGGAGGATGAGTTCACGGGGCTGGATGTGTCCAGGGGAGTCTAAGCAGAGGGCGGCCAGAAGCCCCAAGAAGGTGCATGCTGCAGTGCTCAAGAGGGAACAGCCCCTGGATGGTAGAGAATTCTGGAGAATAAGAATTCCCAGGATTCTCTGCCTGGAGGACATGGTAGGCAGGTGGACATAAGTCTCGATTTCTATGATTTGTTTTTCAAAGAAAGAAAGAGAAGAAGGAGAGAAGAAGAGAAGGTGGGAAGAAAAAGAAAGGGAAGGTAGGAGAAGAGAAAAGGAGACATAAAAGTTCTAGATCTGGGCTGTCTGATGTGGTAGCTTCTGCTCACATATGACTATTGAGCACTTAAGATTCTGCTGATCTGAACTGAATGTGCTATAAGTATACAATATATGCTGGATTTCAAAGGCAGCATGAGAAAAGAATGTAAAACATAGTAATTTTTATCAATTATATATTGAAATAACAGTATTTTGGAGATTTGGGGTTAAATGAAATAGATTAAAATTAATGTCACCTATTTTTTTTATTTCTGTTAATGTGGCTCCTGGAACATGTGCAGTGACATCTGTGGCCCGCACCCCATGTCTGTTGCAGCACTGCCCTAGACAGTTGCCCCCTGAGGGACCACGGCAGCCTCCAGTCCCAGCCCCACTTCTAGTTCCTGTCAAACTGTAGGGGCCTTTTGCTGAAAATAAACTAGCCCAGGTGCGGGGTGTTTTGGTTCTGAGGTTCTCCAGGTAGATCCAAGAACCTCCCTGGAAAAGCTTCCATATTTTAAGCAGCTATTTTCTAAGTGCTGCTGGATCTTTTTAAACTCTCTGCTTCATATGAAGGCACACAGGGACTTTCTGGCACTTGTTTTAGAGAGCTTTTAGGTGTGATAGTGATGGAAACTTTGAATAGGATGTGTGAGTCGTGGGAGGTTTGGGGAAGGCCTCAGCAGGGACTAGGCATTGACAGACACTGTTCAGGTTTGAATCCAGGTCCACGGATAAATATTTAGGAGAACTGTTTAAAGTGGTCCTACATCCTATCACAACAACATTACAAAACATGCCTTCTGACACTATGTGCTGAGCCTCTCTCTGTGCCTGGCAGTACAGTAGGTGATGAATTCAGCTGGCTGCTATAGCGCCCACAGGGAGGAAAGGCTGGGCTGTAGTGCAGGTCGGAAAGGTCCAGGTGCCAGTTTCCCAGGCCCCCAGCCGGTGTGTGCATACTTTCTCTAAAGTCATAGTTATCATATAGCCACATGTTTTGTCTTATACTTCTTTCTTATAAATACGCACAAGCATTTTCCATGTTCCTACGTAGTCCTCATATCATCCTTTTTAGTAATTAATATTCCACCAAGTGACTGTGTCATTTTGTAACTTTCTGTGGGAAAGTTCAGATAGTTCCACTTTTGCTCATTCAACTACAATAGCAGCAAAAATGCACTTTGCTTTCTTTGCTTTTGGACTTATATTTCTTTATGATTAATGCTCAGGAAAGAAACTGCGGTGTTCAAGGGTATGAATGTTTTTCTGTTTCTTGATAGATATTGCCAAGGTGCTGTCCAAAAGGCATGTATGAACTTAACATTGCTCATAACAGTGGATGCATGTACCAAGTTTCTTGCAAATTTGCCAGAACTGTAGTGTTACAGCATGTATATATATATATATNGCACATGCATATGTATAAATAAGCACACACATATGTGTACATTTATATATACATTTGCAGATTTAAATGCTATAAAAATAGCACCTCCCTGAGGTTTTTGAAGCTCTTCTAAGCAAAATATTTACAGATAAATAACACAAATATTTTCTTTTCCTGAAATTGCCATCCTGAAAAGGTCAAGACATTGTCTTGAGCAATTCTGTACTTGGCATGCACTTTTGTTTCTAAATTGTTCTGCACAGAAGATAGGTCTCTCTTCTCCATTTATTACTTCATTCAATCATTTATTTATATCAATGTGGATTTGTTTTATACTTTGGGTTATAATCCCATTTATTTTACTGCTCAAAATGTTCCAGCTCAGGCCACTGGGAGCTCTTTCATTTGGCTCCTGTGACATACCCTCACCAATGTGTTTGGTTTGTGAGCACTTCCTTTCTTTCTGGCACTTCAAAATGCTTCATCTTACCCATCCTGGCCCTAGAATCCATCTGTTCTCCAGGGAGCCCTGGTTCCTGGTATTGGAAAATGGTTCTAGAAACTAAGATCTGCTCTGTGAGCTCATAGCTACTAGGGATATGTACATACACACACCGACAACTATTTCTATATGTAACCATCTCTGCCTATATTAAATTGAACATGAGTTCTTACTGATGCGTCCAACTCTAATCCAATACTTCATGGATCATTCTAGTGTTGCCAATCTTCCCACTTCAACTCTGAGTAATTTTTATGACCTGATTCTAGGGAGGGCTGAATATTCCTACTGAAGAATTTCCTTTCCAAAAGTATGTTGCTTGTGAAGGAAAAAAAATTGTGTCTAATATCTATCAACAGAGAGAGGGAAATGTCATTAATTTGCAAAAAAATTAAAATGTCCTTAAGGTTATGGGTAGAATCTGTTGCTGATAAAAACACGGCAGTCTGCATGGGTCTCCAAAGCACAAGGGCTACATCAGTGACTTTCCTGGTCCGAGGCCCAGATGACTGCTCGCAGCAGCTCCCTACTGGTACTGAGTGCCAACAGCTCCTGACCAGAATGCAAAGGAGAACCCCGAACACAACTGTCCACCCTCCAAAGTCACCCGCTTCTCAGGGTCTCCCTAGAAGAGCTCATGTCTTGGACCAGATGGGCTCCCCCTGCTGTGGTCAGTGACACTGTTCACCTCAAACTGCGTCATGCCAGATGCTGATGTCCCACAGAAAGAACTGTCCACATCAGCTCTATGTTGCTCAGGGAGCAGATCTTCTGTGTCATCTTAGCCTGACTTCCTACCCTCCAGAAAACATGAATCTCCTTTCAACACAAAAATACGCATCTCTCTCCCTGCTCAAGCCCACACTCAGATGAGCTTGGCTCCATTGGGATGGGAGTCTCCATCCCAGCAGGCACAGCCTACTTGTGAAACCAAGTTTATGTTTAATTACACAGTAATAATCATCAGAACACTTCCCATGCATCTGGTTCTGTTCTAAGTATTTGGCTTCTGTGAATTTATGTAATCCTTACAACCAGCCTATTCTTAGCCTTATTTTTATAGGGGAAAAAAAGTGAGGCTTACTAAGATTTTGTTTTTAGGAGCTTATAGAGTTTGATAACTAATGAAGCCAGAGTCTACACTAGCCATGGC